AACAAGAAATTGGGACTCAGAGTCCTGGAGCCACCTGGATCCCTGGTTTCAGCTATCCTGTGTGGTTTTATAGCTTCCTACGCATGCCATGACAAGAAGATTTAAATGAGGGAGTTGAACATGGTGTTGAAAGAGAAGAAACACTGCCAGACTGGCATTCTTTCAAAAGTTCATGAGAAAAGCAAAGTTGATAAAAGAGTTGTTGACAGTCTGTACTGTCACAATGCAGATCATTCTACACAGTATTGCCTGTCACTCCAGGACATCGTTTTGCAAAGGGCTACTGACGAAGCGTGGCATGATGGCATCATTAGATGGCACTGGTACACGGGCCCCCGGGGTATAACAAATGCCATACCAGAAAAGCTGCACTGCCAGACGTCTTCTTGCCAGTGATGAAAACAAGACAAAATTTTTGAGTTATGACTTTCTATCCTCTCTTTCAAAAGTCACCCCCTACATTCTGATTTGGGGCATCACTCACATAGAAACTAGAACATATACTTACTGAACAAGACAGAGCGTTAGTCCACATTATTTGCAGAACTCAATCTGCATAAATTACTTTGCACAGTTCCTGGCACAAGCTAAGTGCTCGATACACATCAGCTCTTGTTCTGTTATTAACACTGTTGGTGGAACTTTCCGGGTATCTATCTATGAATTGAAGTTCTCAAATTGGACGGTTCTTTGGGTTGAGTTTCTTTGGAAATAGAAAGTAGGGATTTCTTGATTTTGTTGTAGAGAAATAACTAGCTGAGAATCATTTTGCCCAAATAGTACCATTATGCACACAGGTGAGATGATTTGCTCATGAGTTAATAGGCATGGACGTGGCTCAGGAACTCAGGCAAGACAGGTGCTAATCAAGATTCATTTCTGAAAAGACTAGGTGTCGAGAATTTGTCAGGTGCTGTTGCAGGTGCCGGGAATGCAATTACACATAGACCAGCCTTTGCCTTCCGGAAGTCCAACTACAAACAGCAAAGAAGGCAAGGTTCCTGTAGTGTGGTGAGGACCTCTCTGACAGGGTGCCCACAGAGTTCCCCTGTGACACTGGAGAGGGTCTATAAGGATGAATAATTCATCAGGCAGGCCAGGAGAGAGACACTTTCTGAATCTGTTTCTGTAATTTGAGAATTAAACCAACAGCATCCTCTCAGAAGGCTGAGGAGTCTAATGGCCAAAGATGTGGACTCAAACAGGCCTGGGTTTGGCTCTCATTCGACCACCAAGATTTTGAGAAAATAAAAAAGACAACAATAACAATAATAGCAGCCAGCATGTAAGCCAAATTTTTCTTTGTTTGCAAAATACGGACAGCAATAATGGAACCCGTAACACTTAGAAAAGAAGACCCTCGTGAAGCATTTGGCACAATGCTCGGTACCTAGAACACATTCAATACATGTAGACAGTTACTATTATCATAAGGAGCTTGTGAGAATCGAAGGTGACATGAGGGACAAAAGTGATAAAAACTACATTTCTGGAATTATTACTCCAGGCAGTGTAATATGTCGTGTAAGGGCAGAGGTGTTAAATAAGCGCTAACCAGGGAGTAGCAGATGGCATAATAGTTGTGTGGCTGGACTCCCATGTAGTCGACTATGGTTTGAATCCCGGACCCGTTGGCTTAAAACTCATGTTGGGTGCATGTGTGTACATACCCAAACTCCCAGGGGAGAGAGTGGAGGAGAAGAGATTGTGACGTAGCCACCGCCCAGGGGGTGATTTCTTGCTTTCTGTCTCTCTGGTAAGTGCATGCGCCATATAGCAAAAAAAAAAAAAAAAAAAAGAGCACTTACTGTTTTTTACAGGGAGGTCCTTGAGTATGGTCAGAAGGAAGGGTGCATGGCCAGAAGTGGATGGCATTTAAATTGAATGAAGAGCCACTCAGAGGTCAAAGGCCTTGCTTTAATGAATCAGTTATGCAATAAAACACACGAAACACAGACTCACAAGGGACAGAATTACTGGGATCATAATTTGATGTGAGGTTTTTACCTTTTTAAAAATTTGCTAGAGGGCATGTGCACTTGCCAAAGAGAGATACAGAGAGAGAGAGAGAGAGAGAGAGAGAAAGAGAGAGCAATCCCCAGTGGGACATGGTTATGCTGTAATCTCTGTTTCCCCATTTTCCATCCTATTAGGATGTTGGACACACACACACACACACACACACACACACACACACTCCTATGTTATTCAAGCCACTGGGGTCAAGATTTGAACCACTGTTGACCACATAAGATCTGATGATTTTTGCATTTTGGGTTATGTTGCTGGACTCCCACATGGCTGACCATGGTTTGAGTCCTGGACCCAGTGGTTTGAAACATGCCAGGCATGTGTGCATGCGTGCCCAAAATCCTGAGGGGAGAATGTGGCATGGCCATCTCTTTTGGGGGTGGAGGGAGGAATTTCTCACTTTCTGTCTCTGTCTCTCCAGCAGGTGCATGTACCCTGTAGCAAAATTTCTCTAATAAATAAATTAAATTAAACATGGGGCCAGCAGGGAGTGTGGAGGTTAAAGTGGCTGGATTCCACACAACTGACTGGATTGCACAGTTTGAGTCCCAGACCTGGAGGTTTGAAAAACACACCGGGTACATGTGAATGTGTGCCCCAAATCTGAAGAGAATGGAAGAGAAGGGACTACAGGATAGCCATTCCCCCTGGGGGGTGATTTCTCACTTTTCCTCTCTCTCTCTTTCTCTCTGTCTCTCTCTGGCAAGCACACATGTCCTACAGCAAAATGAAAAGAGAACATTCACATAATTATAAATAACAAAATATTAATACATGACATATAAAAGGAATATAAAGAAAAACTGTAAATAACTAAAGCCCTATGTCTCAGACACAGACTTAACAGGTGTCCTCGTTGTGGTACTTAGTTTAGATCTTTATTTTTGCATTTTGGTTTTAAGTAATAAGATATTTCAGACTATAGCTAAATCTCACACTCATCCATTTGTGTGTGTTACTCCCTCAGGCGTGCCCATACTTTTACTACGTATACGGTCCTGTAAGCAAATCGTACCATTGTTCTGATTTTCCTAGAATTTTACACACGATGCCACGTGCATCGTTTTACAGCTTGAGTATTAACTTAATACTGTTTCAAGATGGATCTAAGTATTTTTTTCTCAGAGATTTTTGCTATAGGGCATGTGTACTCACCAGAGAGACAGAAAGAGACAGTAAGTAAGAGATCACTCCCAGGGTAGATGGCCACACTGCAATCCCTTCTCCTCCATTCTTCTCTTAGGATTTTGGGCACAAACACACATGTGTCTAGTGTAAGTTTTAAGCTGCCAGGTCTGGGACTCGAACCATAGTCGACTACGTGGGAGTCCAGTGACAATAGCCATTGTGCCATCTGCTGGTCCCAAATCTGTATCATTTTTAAAAACTGTAAAAGGGTAGGTATATTCAAGACATACACATAATTGCATGCAGAATAAAAAAATGAGTGTCTGCAAGTTTGGTAGGGGCTTTGCATTGGCATCTGTGCATTCGTGTGTGGTGAGATGACATGTCTTCTAGGTACAGAGAACGTCTTTCCAGAGAAGGAACAAGCACAAGAGAGTGTCTTTTTAAGGGTTGGCTTTTCTTTTTCTTTTGAACGGTATGAAGAAAGTCTCCTGTTTCTACAAATCAAGAACTTTGATAGAACCATTGCACGAACCGCATTTCCCTAAGGGTGCATCTTCCTTCTCTTGGGCTCCAGAAACCTGTGAGAGAGGGTCCAGATGCCTCGTCCTGGTCAGCCACATTGTGACTGAAGAGGCACCTGGAGCCAGGAAGGCTGGGTGTGAATCCTGGCTCTGCCACTGCTCCTCGTGACCCTCGGCAGGAATGGAAGCTCACCGTGTCTCACCTTCCTCATATGGGCAGTGAGACTAGTAATACCACCGGCAATATTTTGGCAAACACGGGTTGTGCTAATTCACAACGTCGGCTTAGGCTTGACAAGTGCTTTGAAATCGTTAGTTGTTATGAGTAATCACAAGAGAGCGTGGATTCAGAACACTGGAAAGTAACTTGCACCGAGTCCAGATTCAGTCAGGAGCCCAGTGCCCTCGAGCACCCCCAGAGTCCTCCCAGCAGGTCAGACAACTAAGTCGGGCTTTCATGGGGACTCCTCTCTGCCTCTACCCTCTCATGTGGGGTCAGAACCCCAGGCTGCAGCATGGAAAGATGGGGTCACAGGCGGGAGGCGGGAGGAGGAAGCAGCCTGGCACTCCTGCTGGGCACGGTGGCCACAGGGAGTGGAGGGAGGTAGGCATGTCCTCTCCTCCTAGTCCCCAGCTGTCGCTGGCCTTACTTAATAGAAAGCTCTTTGCCCTGAGAAGGCCGCGGGTGGAGAAGCGGAAGGAACCAGAAGCCGCATCTCCCTTTGGTGATAGGCTTGGAGGGGACTCGGTCAACTGCACCTGGTACTTATTACCCAGGTGACCTTGGGCAAATCACTTGGCCTCTGTGGCCTCATTCTTAGTTAGAAGGTGCGCGATGTCCCGAAGTTTCTTTTACAAGGGGAGTTTCATACGGTGCCTGAACCAGGGTGAGCCTCAGTAAACATGCGCTTGTAACAGTGGGGTGGGGAGAGGGAGGGTCCCCATGGTGAGGCTGAGCTTTCCTGTTCCACATCTCTGACCCCACGGGTCAAGGGTGGAAAACTCCTGGGTCTGGAGAGTGCTGCAGCTGGGGCAGAGCCCCCGGGTGATGCCCAGAGTGGCGGACCTGGGGGCTGGGGTCCAGCAGATGTCTCGAAGAGCCCCTTGCTGGCCATCCCTTCCGCGCGTCCACCTGGGCACTGTCCTTGGGCGCTGCCCATATTCCTTCTTCCTTGCCGACCAAGAACACCAGCTCAGGCCAGACCCGCAACGGGGCGACACAAGGGCCAGGAAGGAAGAGGGGAAGCGGGCAGCTGGGCACCATGGCCCAGAAGCCCTCCCGGCCCCTGTTGCTACTTTAGACCAGAGCGCTCTGACCTGCGAGACACCCAGTTGGCAGCAGACCGCGGCCTCCGACGTCAGAATGCGGGCGGTGCCACCAGCGGGCCCCTGGTCCAGATGTCGCCCTCCCCGC